TCTGTTTTTAACACTGACTGCATTCTGCCTCCTGGCTTTTAATTTTCCACTTGAATCCTTGGTATCTCCCAAATATTCTCATTGAAGTATTTGTAGTCTCTGTTGGGTGGTATGTATGCTGAGGAGCTAATCAGAGAAGCTGAGTAATCACTGAAGTATGGTGTGAATTTACAACAGCCTACTTAATTCATGTGACCTCTTGTATGCACTAAAAGCTTGTCTGCTAAACACAATTTAGAGTTAATCTAAGTAAGTTCTTAAAGTGAATTAGCCAAGCTGCATGCTAATCCTCTGTGTTTACCTGCTTATTCAGATAGGCAGCAACTCAAGTTGCATTAAATATCACTTGATAAATTGAGTAGGGAAGGGTTGGAGAGAAAAGGTGATGAAATCTCAGTGTTTTCTTCATCTGTGTCCTTTCAGGGCATATTTCAGAACTGCTTTGTGTTTATAAATCTTGAATTCATGGAATGATCAGCATGAGCTACCTGAGGCCAAAACCCCAGTACTCCAGTGCAGCTCTCTTACTAAGCACTACTGACAGCTGCTGCTGCTCCCAGGATACATTGGGGAGTGTGTTACTTCCTGATTATCCTTAAATGTTGTTCCTCAAAATCCCCAACTGTTTGAGTTGGGATGCTTTAGATGGTGGGGAATATGGTTCAGACTATGGAGATAAGGAAGCCCTTTCAATCTCTGCCAGGAAACTAGTAGCCAGCCCCGATTTTATAGCATGGACTCACAAATTCTGGCTGATTGTCCAGAGTGCACCAGGGACTGACATGGTGGGCAAGAAGCAATTACCATTCATTTGTCAACATTAGGATTTTTGTTGTTTTGGGCTACTGGGTTGGCTCACTCTCCATCAAGGCAAGATCAAAGGTAAGATCTTATTTCTGGGTCACTGCTGTCCATCAGATAAGTTTGTTTGTGGCCTTGGGAAAAAGCAGTGACGTGAGAATAGGGAATTTAAACCCTGTCATTAAGATAATTCTTTCTTATTGTCAATTCTAAATTCTTTCTAACTTCATTCAGCTAAACTATGCAAAATACAGCACTGCAGAAATTGCCTGGAGAACAGTCAGCTAAACTGATGCAAATGTTACAAAAATATTTCTGAAGCAACATGACTGTTATTTCTAGTTTGAGGGGTTGGTAAACAGTTACTGTGTCTGCGTTGTTGATGGCCTCAACCGTGTTAAGCTGATGCCTTGCAGTCTTCAGTGTAATTTTTTTGTGGGGGGTGGTTGACAGTTTTCTATTTCAGATAAACTTAATTAAACTCCCGTTTGTGCACCATTGGTTGGGGTCCATGTAGGGCTATATTAGGATGGTACATTTGTAATCTGGGGTTTGGGGTTTGGGGTTTGGAGTGCTTAATTATGGACTTCCTTGGCTTCAGCATTTCCACATTATTGTATTTTGTAGTGGTTCATTCTGTCTGAAGATTGAACATCTGTTTCATGGATCTGGGGCGGGAAAAGAAGTACTTGCTTTAATGCTGGCCCCCCTGAAAGCTGTTTAGAGAATTGTTACATTCTGTTATCATCCAGATGTTTTTTATCTGCTGAAAAGGATATTTCCTGAATGTTTAAATACAAACTTGTTTCAGAAGAATGCCAGCATACTACTTGTTTTCTGAGGTCTAAACAGAAGGTAGAGTTAACAAATGGAGTCTCTGTTGCTGATCCTTAGAAGTGTCTAATTATATCATTTTGTTTTTTCTTCTTGGAAGTAAATATTAAACGTCTGTTTGTAAGTTGTTGAGAAGATAAATTCTTTCTGCCTTTCCTGTCGAGGAGTGATAGCTGGATATCATCCTGGTATCTTATATGGTGATATATACCTTGATAGAAGTGACTTCATGTATTGCTATTGTCTTCTTTAATGATACCAGTTAGAAAGCAAAATAGCTATGAGAACGCACTAAGTTAAATTCTGTCAACTACCAGTGTAAGGCAGTTGGAACTTGATGATCTTAAGGTCCTTTCCAACCCTTATTATTCTATGATTCTATGTGTCCGCATTGTGAAAAACACTCCTTGCAATTCCAGAGTTCAGAATAATTTTAATGAGCAGCTCCTTGCTTGTTTTATTTGTTGTTGCTGTTATTTATAATGGAGCAGGACAAAAGCATGCACCATATTTGCTTCTTTTAAACATGCGCGTGCATTCACAATGCTGGCAACAGCTAATGATGCATCTGAAAGGATGAGCTATCCATGGTGACTTTGAACTTTTCTCCCTGCTAGTTAACCTCTTCAAATTTAATGCTTGTCGTTAGAAATAAGCCATTTTAAAAGAGTTTCAGATACTGTTTCAAAATGACTTATTTCAGAAATATTTGGTACTTTAGAAGTCATTACAATGAAAGTGCAGATTATGAAAACACTGTCATATGACAGCAGCTTCCTTGTGCTTGTGCTATGAGAGACCATCCACATTGTAGTTACTTGTTTACATAAGCCTGAGCACACTGCTGTTATTTTCCAGCAGTTTGTGTCTAGCTGTATTTTTCCTCTATTTTCTGGTGATTCCTTTTTGAAGTTTAGAGTAGTAAAACAATGTTGACACTGGATGATGGCATGAATTATTACTCTGGAGTCTTCGTGGTTCATTTGTTTTTACTTGAAACAGAGACATTAGAAATTCACTTTCAGGGATATCTTGCTGTTCCAGTACCCAGTAATTTGAAAAAACCCAGTGGAACTGCTCCCACAGTTGTTTCTTGAAGCTGGTACTGTGGTCAGTACAGATGCTTTAAAGCAATTAAAGGTTATTTTATCCTATGCCAACCTCATCATTCCGTTGCAGAAGCTCCTAATACATCTCAAGAAACATTCATGTACCACCCAGAACCCCTTGCATTAAGGCAGAATCTCACTCATTTCACTAAGCGAGACTGTGAAGAGGCTCTCCAGCCTTGCTGAGTAGAAAAGCAGTGATCATCTGTAAACAAACCTTAACAAGCAAGCATTGATGGACATCTAGAGAAGCTCATTTCTGATAGATAATGCTTGAAATAAGTCTAGAGGTTTAGGATGATAATGGGAAGATAACTGAAGTGTTGGCTTTAAAACTGAAGCAATTCAGATTTTTTTTTTAAGACAGAGCTCAGAATAAGCTTTTCAGAGAAGCTATAGACTTCAAGAGACGATGAAGTATCATTTTTGGATTTAAAAGCACCCCAAGAAAACGCTGCCCTAGAGATGGCAGCGGAATAAGTACAATAGGTTACCCTGCTCTTGCAGGGGGGTTGGACCAGATGATCTCTCGAGGTCCCTTCCAACCTTGGGATTCTGTGTGATTCTGTGTGAAAAGAGGCAGAGCAAGTGAGAGAATTGCACTAGATGCAAACTGAGCTAGGTCAGAGAAGTAAAGAAATAATTAAAAAGGACTAGTACACAAACTAAATGGAAGTTTTTTGGGTTTGGTTTTTTTTTTTGCTTGATGGTAAATAGGATTTTGAGTCCTTCAGTGTATAACAGAGAGAGAAAAAGTACCCTGTGTTTAATGGGGAAAAGGAGCATGATTAATATGTGGACAGTACAGTGGTGGCACTATAAACAATAATGTTGAGATTTGAATAGAAAATGATGTCTTTTTTTTTTTTCGTGCTGCTGCATGCCTTGTGTGTTAGCCTGCTACCAGTTTGTACCATAATTTGTGTGACTTAGCATGAGAGTTTTCACGGTTTCACGTTACAATGTCAAATACTGTAGGTTTGTCCTTTCAAAATGTGTTTTCTGCTTATTAGTAAAATGTGAGATTTTCTTCTGATAGCAAAAATTATTATAGTTAAGATATTAATCCCCTAGAATATCCTGAGGGAAAGAAGTTAATTGTTTTGGAAGCAAGACCAGAAAGGTCAAGAAAAATTATTTTTAATCAGATATGGCAATGTTTAGTTTCCTGCCTTCATGATGTGATGCTTACATGCCTTAGAAAAGACCTTTGAAAGTGAGTATCTTGCTACCACTGACACAGAGGAGGGAAGATGTTTGTTATTTTCCCTTCAAGATATTCTTGGTCATTTCCATTAATCTGTAAAGAAGTGTCATGATGGGCCAAAGAGAATCCATTCAGCTTCCATCAACACTGCCAACATAATATCCTCAAATACCTCTTGCCATGAGTCACCAACAAGAGGAAATTGCATGGGTACATGTTGCAGAAAAAACTGCATCAGGACTTTCTGCATTGAGCAGGGTTGAATCTGTAGCAAATGCTTGGGGAAGTAAGAGTCCTCCTGCCTTCCTTGTCTGCCATTGAATTCAACAAAATGCATTTGAATTTCATGGGCACAGGTTCAGAATCTTGGTTTGTCAGAAAAAGTAAGCAAACAGCAACAGCAAAAAACCCAAAACAAACAAAACCCCCAACAAGCAAACAAACAAAAACAAGTCTAAAATCCCAAGCAACAAAAAACACAACCGCAAGCCAAAACAATACCAGAAAGAATGAACAGCTCATAATTCTGGGAGTTACCTTCTCACTGAAGAACCTTCATTGTAGTCACAGTAAAATATCCAAATTATATATCCAATAATGTTTATCCTTTTGGGGATAAATATCAGAGTAGGTAAAGGAGAAAGGCAGACATGAATAAGTTAAATAGACACTTGAACTGTCTGCCCTTTGGTGGAACCCAGAGCTGCATAACTGTGGTCAGCCTGCTTTTGTCATCCTCAAAAAGGATATGAGGGAAAATTGAGTGGCACATGGAAAAGATTTCCCTGCAAGATAAATGCTTCAGGGTAGCATACTATCTGTTCTTTTTTTTTTCTTTTCCATTGAAAATCTGTGAATAGAGGGTTTGGTTTTTTTTCTTTTATATAATCCGATTGATCTGCTTTTTGGTGGGATGGGTGGGGGCTCTGATCTTGCCCTGGTGGAATGACTAGGAAGATGTCTTTCCTGACCCATGTGGTCTCTGTGAAAGCAGATGATTTCTTGGAGGGCTTACCACTGCACAGTGGTCCTATTTTATTGTTGTAAATAAGCTCTGTGTGTGGTAAATGAATAAGGTGACTGATTGTTTCCTTAATCTTGCAGTGGGGAAGAAGGGACGAAGAGACAGTTCCACACAACGCTGCCTCTGCAAAGTTCATGAAACTGTTTAACTGGGGTAAGGAGGCTCCACCTGACATGTCCTCATGTCCTTGCTGAACTCCTTTGGGGCTGTATTCTCTCATGGGAAGATTTAGCATGTGTTTTGTAGTACTCATAATTTTAATTACTGAGGCCAGAACAATGATCTTTCCCTGATTAGCCACAGAGCTCCTATTCAGAAAGGTTTGACTGATGTCATTTTTTCTAGGGTTTTTTTAGCTGCTTTTTTTTTTTTTTTTTTTTTTTTTTTAAGCAGAGGCTGTGATGTGAATGCAAGCAGTAGATTAGAGATCCTCTGTTGATTATTGCATTGTGAAGAGCCCTACTGAATGTGAGGGAAATTTCTTAAATAATGTTCTTTCTAGCCTCAGATTATTGCTGTAAACTTCATCTCTTTTTCCTTGCATAAGGAAGACTAGCAGCTCTAATGTGCTCCTAAGAGTGAAGAGCGAGCAGTGGAAACTGGAAGTTTCTTTTAGTTTCAGGAAGCTGCAAACTACCCTGGAGCACCTCTTAAAAATTGTTTGAGTTGTACAGGTGTGAGCTGGCTGAAGGAAGAAGGTAAAGTGGGAAAGATTAATTCAATTTTTTTTTTTTTAACTTTAGTATTATGCTTTTTGACTTCTGTATTTTTAATGGGTCTGATTAAGTTACCTGTTTTATTCCTTATTTATTGGGGTTTTTTAAGATGCTTTTCAGGGGGCTGAGCAAGTTGAAATTAACTTTCTCATGGTGGTGTTTGGTGCTATTTTGATTTGGTTTGGGTTAAGTAAAAGCCAAATGATCTGGCCAGCTGTTGTTTTTATCAGTAAAGCAATCTGCAAGGTGCATAGCAATAATAAAATCCCTGATTCTGTGGTGTATCTCTGTGACACTGAGTCACTTCCAGGAGAATTGTTTACAATATTGTCTCTCTGAAGTTGGAACAGAAGTTGTGTAGACAGCATCTGCTTTGAGGTGTTCAGTGGCTGGGTTAAATCTGAACTTGGGGAAGTTTTTGTTGTTTTTTGGTTGTCAATGTCTGAAGTGCTTAGACTGTTTAAAAAAGAAGGGGGGTTGTTACGAGATAAGCTGTTTTATTAGGGCTAGTTGTAAGCTTTGTGATACTCAGTCTTGCTAGTGGGAGAGGGCAGAGACCATCAAGTATGTTTTATTCTGGGTTGTGGGGGTGTTTTTAGTTTTCTAAGGGTTTTGGGGTTGGGGTTTTTTTTTTCTTTTTTTTTTTTCTTTCCTAAATACTTCCAAAGTAGAGATTTCCTACTGCTGTGTCTGAAGCTTTCCATATGCTAGCAAACTCCAGTAAAATGTATTTTCTAGACAGTGAATCTGGACTCAGGAAATGTCTAGTTTTACCAGCAGTGGGTGTATCCAGGGAGAAGTGGTACAGCCAGCACAGTAAACAGAATGATGCTGTCCCTTCATCTGGCACTCCCTTTCCAGATTTCCATGACCCCTTACTAAAACCTCACGAATCCATTTTCACAGTGAACTTATTCTTATGAAGAGCTACCAAACAGGTGTGATGCTATGGCTCCATTGCTCTTTAAAGCAGTCTGTCCAGTGATTAGAAGCAGCAGACACGAAGGCTTTGGCAGGAGGCATGTTTGCATAACCGGTCTTCACTGGGACAGCTGAAGGTGGTATTGCATGTGGTGTAGTAACAGGTAACTTGTGCAGTCTGTTGGTAGTTGGTATGAAGGCATGCTGGAGAACTGCATCCACTTTCTTCTACTTCCTTCTACAGGGATATATATGAACAGTGGTACAACCCAGCCAGTGTTCCCATCTGCCCCTTTGGTATCAGAAGTAGATAATTGTCTTCCATGCTATTGACAAAATAATTTCCAAATCCAGCAGTGTAATTTGTGGTTCACTGCTATTAAACCTGCTTAATCAGTACCATGTACTATTCCATATAGATCCATTCCATATAGATATGTTCCAATACTTATTGCTATAGTAATAGGTAATGGATGTGACAGCAGCCTTTATCCTGCTTTCTGAAGAGGGGTGTCAAGAGCTAGGCTGACACCAGCCAAGCTGTAGAATTTGCGCAGGAAAATGTGTGTATTAAAATACACATGCTCTCAACAAGGTTTGATAGTTAATTTTGTGCTACCTTCCAAGCTGTATTAGTGCATCTGCTGAGATCTGCCTGGAAATCTATTTTATTTCCTTTCTGCTTCTTTCAGTCAGTACTGAATCACAGCTATTAACTTGTTGCAGCTCTTTTAATTGTTGAGCAAGTTAACACAGTGTGCAGGAGTTTATCTACATTTGCAGACAGAATGTACCCTGGAACAGAGAGAAAGGACAGAACTGGGAGGAAATACGGATTCTGGAGATCATAACTACTTAGTTCAGCTTGTCCTTATGCTTTGGTGGGTCATCCAGTAATTTTTAACATGCTTAATGCAGCTCATTCGGCACATTTATTTGTTATAAGATACCACATACCAAGCTCACGTCAACATTCAGCAGTCTGCTCTCTGACACAAAGCAAGATGTTTGCTGAAACAGCACTCCAGATGTGACACGTGAGGAAAGAGAAGGCAAGTCCTGAGGTGACAGGACAGGGAGCTGACGTGTGGCTTTCCCCCTCATTTTAACCGATAGTGAACTGAACAATAATAAATAAATAAATAAATACAATAACTAAAGAGTGTTTATGCAAAGGCTTGCTGAAACTGTTTCGGAGAAGTCAACACTGACGTTAGAGTTTGGATTTCCTTGCAATTTCAGAAAAACCAAAAGCTTCTTACCTGCATTCTGTGGCATGGTTTGCCCTTTGCCACTGTGCTGGGGCTATCGTTTCACAGCTGTACCTCTGCTAACCTACAAAAAGGATATTGACCCACCCTGGGGTTTTCAGGACTTATTTTTTTTTTTTTTTTTTTTTAATTACAAACCATTTGTCAAGGGACGTTTCAGTGTTTGAAGAGTTGCTATTAAATAACTTTTTCAACAGTCATAAGCTGTTGAATTGCATTTGCAGTGTTCAAAGTGACAACACCAGAGGCTGTAAAGGCTTTAGCTAAAATAATATAAGGACCTTATTAGTGACCTTACTGGTGACCTTATTAGTGCACATAAATATATAAAGGGGGAGTGTCATGAGGATGGAGCCAGGCTCTTCTCAGTGGCAAACAATGATAGGACAAGGGGCAATGGGTACAAACTGGAACACAAGAGGTTCCACTTAAACTTGAGAAGAAACTTCTCAGTGAGGGTGACAGAACACTGGAACAGGCGGCCCAGGGAGGTTGTGGAGTCTCCTTCTCTGGAGACATTCAAAACCCGCCTGGACACGTTCCTGTGTAACCTTATCTAGGTGTTCCTGCTCTGGCAGGGGGATTGGACTAGATGATCTTTTGAGGTCCCTTCCAATCTCTAGCATACTGTGATACTGTGACCCAGAAGAGGTAATATCTTTCTATTAAGAAAATCCACTGCTCTGTAATTTGCAAAAGAAAATCCAGATTTTTGCAGCAGTTCCTAGCAGTCACTGTAGTAAAGGAAAGATTAACAGGAAGGCCTATTTTTTCCTAGCAGCATGAAATTGAAACCAGTTTTACTGCCCTTCATGTTTGTTTCATTACGTGCCAGAAAGTGTATCCATAGCTGTTCTTTTATTAACCAAGTGATTAGTGGAGAGCAGGAAAAAACCTCTATGAGTCAATAGTAAGTACTTAAAAATCTGTTACCACCATTACTTTAGGTAAGTGGTAAAAGTGGTAAAATGAAGCGGTAGACAGACCAAGTCAATGCTGTTACTCCTCCCTGGATGGCCTTTGCCATTTTGCCTTTTAATGCTACTGTGGTGGGGTCATGTTTTTGTTTGTTTGTTGAGCAAACTAATGCTTACAAGCAGCAGTAGTCTAGTGAAAAAGGCTGGAGGTGAGTGATGCCAAATGATTATTTCTGGATGTCAAGAATTAAGATGCCACATGAAATCTGGAATGTCTCTGAAGTGACATCTGGAAGTGGGACCCTTATGTGAGATCTTTTTCTTACTTTCTCGCCTTTTTAAATGTTGTTCAAATGTTTTATTTTCCTTGACGGGTTTATGGGTCCTGTCCATTTGAGATCAATTAGGACTTAAAACTGTCCTCTGAGAAACCATACATTAGACTTTTATTCACTAGAACTGTGTAGTCGTTTAGCTAAGTCACATTTAACAGCTTCAAGGTCATACCAAATCCGTATCTCCTGAGTCATGTAATCCAGAAAGAAGTCCGTGAAGTCAAGCTCTGTTACCAAAAGATGCTCTGAGGGGGGTGAAGGAAACCAAAACTGAAAGACAGCAACAATGAAGGATACCTGAGATTGTATGACACAGACAGCCACAGATTCTGAAAAACCATTTTGCCTGTCAGGGCAAGCACCTTACTATAGCAGAGGCACTTGTGGGCCCAGATGAGATACACAGTGATGCAGAAGTTGTTGATATTGCTGCATTGCTTCTAAATGGCAGATCATGGTGAACCAAGGAGGAGAAAGGGCCATAATTTTTGTCATTGTAATAGATTTTGCAGAAGCAGTTCTTTCAAGATGGTGTTTTTGTGATACATGATTGAACTTCTAACTACTTCAGGTAATGACAGAACTGCTGTGGTCACAGACAGCTGATCCGGAAATCATGATGTTTAATCACAGTATGACAGGGAGCAGTATGTTTTGTTTGGTAAGGATGCATCCCTGCTCCACATGTTAGAGACGTCCTACTCTGCTGAATGTCAACTGGTCAGGTTTTTTAAGCAGTCAAACAAAACCTCAATGTGTTACCATAAATGACTTTCTAAATGTTATAATTTATGGTGAAACATATTTTTGTAGATATGAGTCACCTTTGCAGAGGATAAGAAACCCTGTTATCTTCATTGTGCAAATTTTACATACAGATCCAACATGTTTCCCCAGTTTACAGTTCTCTAGATTCACTCAGTAAAAACAACAGCATCTGACAAATATACAGAGTGGAATTTGCCTGTGACACCTGCAGTTGCAGTGTTTGGAAATGATGTATGTGAGTCTGCTTCCAAATTTAGCTATTTTTTTCAATGGTTTGTAGTGCAGGAAGCCATCAAAATCTCATTCCTGTGCTTTTGCTTGAGACATTCTTTTTAATAGAGATTAACTTTTCTGTCATAATGCCCTTCCAAGAAGTTCGAGGATCCTGTTCCCTTTATTTTCAGTTCTTGAAAAAGACAGGACTGCACCCCGAACTCACATGGGTATTAAGTTAGGAGCCACCTTTGTTTGCCTGAATAGAGTCGGCTTGTTTTTGCACTGCTGTGAAAGCATAGCTCCCTCTGTACTTTGTTACTGCTGAAGATGATGAGGCGGGTTGGGAGAGGGGGGAGAGACCTTTTGTACAGTCCAACCTGTTTTCAGCTGGAATGCTTTTAGGAGCCTAACTAGTTGGCAGGAAGTCTTAATCGTTGTGTATGTTGGGCTCTGGAGTCTGAGAAGTAAGGTGGATGCAGAAGAGCGTTCCTTCTGGCCAAATTGAGGGATCAGTGCAGTACAAGCAATGAAGATGTAGCTAGGAGCAGAATGGGAAATGTCAAATGGTTGTAGGCTTAGGATTTTTTACTAATCCTGTGTTTTCTATTTCTTGGAGAGATGGTGAAAAATAAGTACAGGCATATTTATCCTCTCATCACTTAAAAATGCTCATTGGATTTTATGGGGTTATGCTTTCTCTGACGTTAGTGTTCTACCTGGAGTACACAGAGCTAACTAAAGCTAAGAACTTTGTCCTTAGTTTTTGCTCTTCTGGTCTGTGATGAACCCTAGTAAAAATTATCATTTTCTGTCCTTTATACATGTGACAAACAGGACTCTAAGCATACCTCTGGTATTGGTCTAGATAGTCTTTTTTTTTCCCTAAAGTCTGATTCATCTGTAACTTTTTCCCCATCTTCAACAGTGGCAGCATTTCAGGATTGAGAGAAGAGAATAAACTTTAAAAAAAAACTAACAATGAGCTACTGTAAAGTAGGTGCAGTGACACTGCTGCTGTTAAGCATTCTTTGAGAAGCACAGAAACAAAGGTCTTCTGAGATCTTACTAAAGTTACATTTGTGACAGCTCACAAGGCAGTGATGAAATGTGCTGGTTAAGGATCTTGAGGCTGTTGATGGAATTGTACTGAAAATCACTTTGCTTGGTCAAATAGCAAAGTTTCCCTAAGTCAAAAAAAGCAGTAGTTTCAAGTTAATACTGTCTGTTTCCTTTATCTGTTATGCACAGTGGAACAATCGGTGAATTTCAGACAACAGACAAAACTTTATTTTTGGAAAAGAAAATATGGAGCCTGAAGGATGTGTAGCTTGGTTCTTTGACTTCCAGTGAAGGCTTTCTCAGAGGAATACTAAATCGCCATTTTCGGTCCTCTCCATGAGTGTAGTAGTAGAAATTTGGAGCAAGGAGTGGAAAAAATGAAAGGTTACTAGCAAGAAATCAGGAGGAAAGAATAGGGGTCACTGGAAAGCTGTATAAAGATGGAAAAAGTGATCCTAGAGCTTGGCAAATGAGGCAGCTGCATGTGACGTAAGGTATGTGGGGATGTGTTAAAATGGGAAGCAGGCATTTCAAGATGATGCTTTTTAAGAAGGAGGAATAATTTCCACAGTGGCATGCAACTGCTGAGTTAAATGAACAAAAATAAAAAAAAAACAAACCCACAACTGACTCAGAAAAGTCTGTGGGGTACAACTTTCCTACAGCACTTATCTGTTCTTGGCTTGGCAAGTAGGTGCTGTGTTTGAAACAATGAACCAGTGGCCATGAAATTCACTAGCATTGTTTGTATGGCTACACCATGGTCTCAGTTTGAAAAACACCAGGTAGGCTTGGGCTCATTTATTGGTATATTTGTTGGATGCCAAATACACTCAGCATGAGTGGTTTTCCTTTGTGACTACAGAATAGGAAGTGGTAGATAAACAGAGCATCAGGTGAGTCTCCAAGATACTTTCTGTGGTGGCTAATTTGTGGGTTGTGTGGTATATGTCTGGCCTGATTGAGGGGAAAAATATGCAGTATCTTCTTACGGAATTTTTAAATGGTGTTGGTTTCTTGGCCATTTCCAGTTCTCTCCTGTTTTGTTTGCTTTTCATTGGACAAAACAGAAACATACACAGAAGCTGATCTTTACCATCTTAAGGTTACAGAAATAACCTGATTCTGTTGATCAGCTGGTCAGAATTCACACAGCAGTTCAGTATATTCATTTACAGTAAACTGTGCTTATCTGGCAGAAAAAAGAAAAAAAAATGAAATTATTAAGGAAATAAATGTATCCTAAATTACAGAAAAAAAAAATATCTATGAGTATTCTTCGGGGGGGGGGGGGGGAATAAAAGAAACAAAACAATGCAGATAGCACAATTCCAGTGCTGTGGAAGTGACCATCTTTCCTTGCAACGTGTACATGGTCTGTGCATTTCCTTCTTGCTGTATTCAGTTTCTGTGAATTTTGGTTTCCTTGGTCAAGTGAGTTGCGTTGCTGTTCTGGACCAAATTCTGATGTACACTGTTAAACTTCTCTTGAAAATCTGTTGTGAATGGTCATGTAAGCAAGTCAGGCCGTGCAAACTCACAAGCTGGTTTTGCAGCAGCCTGGCTTGGATGTTAACTGAACCAGTTCTCTTGTTATTCTCAACAATTACTCTTTTTCCTTCCTACTAGGAGCAAATGTCAGCATGACTAGGGTCTAAGGAAGGACTTCTGTGTTCCTACCAATTGTTTGCAGCTGCAGAGGAGGTGTACAAGGACAGCAGGGACATTTTGAGCTACCATGGATATCCCCACTGATTTAGTGCCATCCTCCATGATGTCCCAGCCTGAAGTCATTGAGGTAAGTAGACCATAATGAAATTCTGGCAGCTGAACTGACTGAACCTTTTTCATTGAATCCTAGCTTTTTCTTCTGTTTCACTTCTGAGCCATCAAGGGAAATTTTCCTGAAATACTGTATTAAAGACATTCATTGTTTGCTATGGATGTTATTATACTTTGACACGACATTGCTGTATAAGCAAATACATGGCAAAATATCATGTTTATTGACTCCATGTAGGTGATCCTGCATTATGGTTTGTTTTTTCCTGTGCCTAATGAATACAAAGTAGAAGGTCGTAATGTGTTTCAGTGTTTTTACCAGAAAAGCCAAAGTTTTAAGTGAAAAGCACTGATAAAATTAATAATACAACTACTAACACACTAATCTTTCTTCTATCATTCAAAGTGTGTGCTTCAGATGTGGTACGTATAAATACCTAAGTGATTTCTTCGGCTCCATGTACTTAACACAAGTACTTGTGTTTTCTGGTGTGGTAAAGATTACAAATGGAAAATGAGGTATCTCAGAAAATCATTTTTGAAGTCCCTTGAATTTCATAAAAACCCAAGTTTCTGTTACAATTTGAAGTTTTATAGATGTATATTTTACTGAAGAGGGCATCAAAATTGATTAAGTTTGATGACAGAAAACTGGAGAGCTAATGTTTATTTTCTTTTTTTTGTTTCCTGGAGATTCTTTGGCTCAGGATACTACCTCTTAGCAATATGCATTGAGAAGTGCAGTAGTTCAGAGATCTCTGGATCTTGTGAAGCTACATAAAGTATGTACACTAATGGGTGGTGACGCGAAATGAGCTGAATCCAAAATCTGCTTTGGAAAAATTTCTTTGTGCTCTTTTTCCTCCTGTGTTTCAAATGAAGAGCTAGTATATTTTTCAAGTGTCTCTCTCTCTGTCCTTGTTAGGGTCAGAGAAGGATTCTCTATCTTTACAGCAGAACAGAATACCTGGTAGGAGGTGGGTGCTGTATGCTTGTGTCCCAGGCTGCCTGACTGCTGCCAGACTCTTCACTCTCTGAAGAAAAACGCTCAGGCAATTTCCTTCCTTACTCTGAAAGGCAGTTGCATCCCTGTCCCCATGGGTTCTCTCTTCAGAGCCTTCTTTGTGTATGAAAAGCTTGTGTATCTAAGCATGTTGTTTAGGATAAATGTCTTCTTGAAGGGAAAATAAGGTCAACTGTGGTGCAAGAATGAGTGGGAGAAAAGTTATCACTTGTAAACAATTTTGGTGATCAGCCGTCACCATTCTGTCCTACTTACACGTGAATAAATGCATGTGTCCTGTTTCAGTTTCTACTGAATAAATCCAGCCTTGGACTTGCATCAGTAGACCAAAGACTAGAGATAAATGGATAATTCTTGTCATTAACTGGTAATCCAGACAGCTCTCCCTCCACTCTTGAATTTTAGAGACTGTGCTTCAGTGAGATTTGACTCAGAAGCCAAAAAGAAATGGCAACAGAAAGCAAAGACAAGACTCAGTGTGGGAGACTGTAGTAGAAAAATAACATTCTCTCAACCTCATGTTGTAAAAATTTGATACCCGTACAGACAAACTTACATACATGCATGAATTACAATAGATTTCAGTAAACTATTGTGGATCTGATGATTCCTCTAAGTTTTCAGTCCTGTTTAAAGGAGTAACAGCTCCAATCAATCTGCTGGGAGACAAGTGTATGTTCCTAAGGGTAAGGAAGGTTTTTTAACAGGCAAGAACATAGTGAGAGACACAGCTAAAAAGATAAATCATTAGGTGGAAATATTAAGGTAAGGCACTTTTCAGACTGGAACTGCATGGCTTGCTGTTAGTGTTTGTGTAGACATACAAATTAATTTTGTGTATAGTTTAGAAAACTATATTCATTAAAATATGTTGGTTTGGGTTTTTTTTTCTGGAGGACTTTTTTTGCCTTTTAAAAGTGAGCAGATGCCACAGTGTGCTGTGGAAGACATTTAGAAACTAATGTTTTAAGGATTTATTTGAATTTGGAAGTAGTCTTGCATGCCTTCTGCATGAGCTAGGTAGCATCTCAGTTACAAAAAGAAATGTTTTGCTCTATACTTTAAACTTTTATCTTTAAGCTTTTGTTTAGTATTGCCAGGATATTTGGTTTCTTTAGTCTTTAGAAGTAAATAATATCTATTTTGTGTAGAAATGGATGTATATGTGTGTATACGTCTCAGTAATAAATATTTCTCTGCCCTCATCAGTTCTTTAACTGCACACAGCAAACAAGAATTGGCTCTTATTTACCACAGGGAAGGATTCCAGAGACCGCAGCAGGGTCTTTTGTAACCTGAAGCCTACCCTGATAGGTTTTACTTTAGGTTTGAATCCTACAGATGCTCACTGTGGTACCACAATGAGGGAAGTTACTAGTAATTTAGTTGCAAATTTTATCTTTGTCAAGATTTGTCTTCTGAGTCAGGTAACAACAGATTAAGATTTTGAAAAAAGTTTTGAAAGTCACCTCTTGATACTAGATGTGAAATTGTTGTTTTAAAATGTTCTTGTTGCTAGTGTGTCAACACGTAAAGAACACCAAAAGCAGTTTCTGACCCCTCTACTGAAGCAACATATTTTTCCTAATCACATCTTTTCATACCTTTCCTATACATTGAGCTGTTTGAAGTTCTCTGCTCCCATCTTCTTTCCCCCCAGCATCCTGTTGCCAAATGTAGTAAGTGGTGATTAAGAGCACAGATTTAAGGCATCTTGGTCATGTTTAAATGTGAAAGAATAAGTAAAGTTTCAGGGCAATTTAGCTATCCACAGCTGAAATCTGGAATGGAAAACAGTTCTAGGATATCATTGATAATATGTCCAAAAAGTCAATAAAATAAAAACTTTTCAGAATATGCTTTTAAGTTTTTTCCAGTAGGGTTCTGTTGTAAAGCAGAATCTAGTGATTTCAGATTAGATAAGCTATGTTGCACTTGGAAACAAAACATAACAAAACTTTCTGATTTTTAAATTGGGGATATTTTGTGGTACATGTGGCAACTTTATTCCTCAACGATGTATAAACAAAGTTATATCATAGAAACTTGATTGATCTGATAGTGCAGTAAGTGGAAAGTTAAATAATTCTGTAAGAGGCATTAAGCATCTCAGAGGGTTTTGCTGTTTTCAAAAAGGAAACATAACAAGTGGTGACCTAAACTGATTAATGTGCTCTGTGGAGTGATTAGTATCTTCTCTTTGAGAATGGCGTGAGATGAATTCTGCAGTAAAAGCTTTGACGAAGAAATGATAGGAGCTCCAGTTGCTTAATGAACCAGGGACTTCCAACAGTGCTTCAGAAATGCTTAAAACAAGAAAGCAACAAAAATTCATCATTCTCTTTTTGCTTTTGCCAGCAGTGGATCCTATCAGCCAAATACTAGAAGTAAATGAATACGTTCAAATAACTGCCTTGCAGCTATTTAAAAAGAAATCCAGAGCAGTTTCCATTATAGTGGCCTTTCATGGCTGTGTGGTTACCAGAGCCAAAAAACACTTCTCCCACTTGGTGCCATTGAATACTTCTCTGTTTTCCCTTCTTTTTATTTGCATTAGAGTGAAAGAGACTTGAACTATCCTTGCTGCAGAATGGTCATCATCAGTAGCTTTTTCCTCTTTATGATGATGCTTGAGAGCAGACTCCTGGGGGGAGGCACAGCTGTTGTAAACCCTTTCCCCAAGCAAAGCTCAACAGGCTTTGCATTTCAGATTTAGTGCCCAAATTTCTGCAGCTGACAAATGTGGGGATTTTTTTTCCTCCCCTTCTAGGTGAGTAAACAAATTAACCTCTTTACCAAAACAGTCCTCTGGCAGTGGTAAATAAGGTAAACAAGAGAACAAAAGGAAATGATGAGACTGGTAGAAACAGTTTGTGATTAAAAGTACATCCACCCAGTTAGACATCATAGGGAAACTTAAATACTACTATGCTGTCTTTTTTTAATTGGTATACTAGATGAGATTACCAGGGCCTCAATATACATCTTTGTTTTGTTCAAAGTAGACCAATACTGCCTTATAAGCAGCTGCATAGTACTGTATGAACAAGTTACTGACAGAGAACTCATTGTTGCCAGAGTCCTGGGAAAGATTTTTCTATATTATGTTTATAAATTTCACAAAGCATCGTAGCAAAAGAAACCCAAACTATCTGATGTATATTTCACCAAAAAAAAATATTTGCAGTGGTAAACACAGGCTAGTCTTCTTACCCCACTTGGAAATCTCCATTTCCAGCCCCAAATGAAATTTGCTATGCTCATGAACACAATTTTGAATAAACATATTGCATGTAGGCTAAAGTCTCCCAGAGTACTCACTTTCCTGGTTTGGTTGGTGAGGAGAGATGGAAGGTCTGCCCTGGAGATGGAAGTTGCCCAAATAGCCTGCAACATCTTTTCAGCATAAAAGGCCAGTCTTTCAGCTGCTGGAGCCAAGAATTAATTCCCAGCTTGGTTCACTAATCACCAAACTGCACCCAAAGGATGTGTGTTGCTATTCATTCTGAGAGGAAACCCTTGTTAGAGTTGTGATTTTTTTTTTTCCTTTTTCTCTAATATTTCTTCCCTCTGATGGCTTCTAAAGTGTCACAGGTAAGGGACTGTGTGCTGTGCCTCCCTGCAGAAAGCTTTTTCTGGGCCTGGGGTCTTTGATCTGTCCTGCACAGCAGCTTTCAGGGACTCATAGCAGGTCAGATATGTGGCTATGATGTTCAGGTTGAGGATAAGAGAGGTAGGCAGTAGGGAATGAACTGGGTGAGATAGTGGAGATAACTACATCACGACACAGGCTATTTTTTTGCAGGCATAAAAGGTGTCAGTCACCTTTTATATTTCAGTAACTAAATTAGATAATGGAATATAATTGCCTTCATGTGAATCCCACAAAGCCAGGAGGTGAGCTTATACCCATGTCTGGCTAAAGTCTCTGAAGATCAGCTTGTCATGAAAGCTCCTACAGAAGAAAATGAAGCTTGAAGAGCTTTGAAGAA